TTAAATATTACACAATATTATATTTATTAATATTTAATTAAACCAATGGTTTAAACAATTTACCCAATTAAAGCTGTTAAATTGACACCGAAAAATGAAAACGATTTGATTTTTGGGTCGATTTTTAATATACTGTTTCAAACCAATGCTAATCCAATAAAGCTTTAATTAATTAAAAAACTCATAAAGTTTGTATTCTTATTTAAAAAAATAAAAAAAATTGAAAGGTCACTTTTCGATTTATAAATAAAAATTTTTTATTTTATTTTTTTAATATCAACCTCTCGATATCCACTAACCATATTACATTTCGATTAATTTGGAATCGAGTCGTATCGAATTTCATTAGAAGAAGATTTTCCAACCCTTATTTTTCTAATTACAAAATTCAAATTCAAAATTTTATTTAAGGAGAATCAAACTTTTTCACTCGGACCAATAAATAGTCGGTTAATTTTTTATTTCTTTACATATAAAATATACGAAGTTTCGTATTCTTATCAATACGTCTATCAAATTTGGCGGGTCTCCCTTTTTTTTTTTTTTTTGGGTGAGGGGGGAGATGGACTGTTGAGATCAGGGGCCCAAGTCTCATTGGTCCAATTAACAATGACTCTGGCCCAATTCCCAACGGTTGCTAATATGCTGGGGGTGAAGTATAAGTATAAAAATATATTTAGTATTTGATTTAAAAAATTTATAATATATTTTTTTAGAGTTGATATGTACTCAAATACTTAAACACCTATACTTGGTACTTATCGGGTGTTAGGTAACTTACAAGTATATACTTATTGTGAATAATATTTAGCTTTAATTTTTTCTTTCAAAATAAAATGTAATATATATTATTTATTTTCAATCTACACTTAAATAAAACTAGTAAAAATTTAATAAAATATTATTTATTACAATTTAAACTTAAATATAATCTAAAATAATAATAAAAAATTAAAACTTAGTTTTATATCTAGAATTTAAATCTAACTTAGTTAAATAATTAGCAATAAAGAACAAAAAATATGTACCAAAAAATAATGAATGAAAATAAATTAAATAACAAAATGAATATACTTCAAAGAAGACATTTAGGTTTTTAGACTCATAATCCCTTTAATTCTTTGCTTCGATTTGTTAAAAATGGATAGTAGCTAATGGTATTGTATTTATTTTAATATCTTGATATTCATACTTTTAACTTACAATTATTATCATGTTAAATTTGAACTTTGAAACTAAAAAATCATCTATACAATAAACAAAAATTATGACTTGACAATCACTAATAAAAAGTTATAAAGAAAACTAAAAAGAATTAAATTTTAAAGTTAGATACACTCATGATTGCCTAAGAGTGTAAGGAAGGACACTTGTCCTTCTAGGCCAATTGGCTTATAATCAGCTTTTAAGGTACATTTCTATCAGTGTGGTGCTAGTTCAAATCCTTTTATTCTTGAAATTTGAACTTGTTCAAAAATAAAAAAGAGTATAAGTAAAGCAAAAAGTTATTAATTGCATGTGTGATATATGTTTGGTTTATAATTTGTTATTTATAGTTACATGCATGATTTTTTTTATTTATTATTTTATTATTTTTATTTTTAAAAATTATTGTTATTATATAGATGTTAAGTATAATAAGTATATATAAAATTTTAATTATATAAGTATAAGTAATATATCAATCAAATAAAATAGTTAAATAGGTTGGGTAAATAATTCTAAATCCTTATACTTGTTACTTGACTTAATATTTGTAGCTATATTATTTTCATACCAATTATTTACCTTATTTTTTAATAGTTTAGGTAAATTACTTACCCAAATAAATAAAATACTTACAAATAATGGGTGTACCCATACCCAGTGCTCACCTCTACTAATATGCATGATCAATGCCCAAGTCTTATTGGTCTGGTTAACCTGATACTCACCCAACTCCAAAGGTGTATTTGGTTAGGGCTAGCACGTACGCCCCCCTAAACTTCTCTTTTATAAGGTTTATAAGTATTTTTACACTTAAATATTACAATAAATTAAAGGATAAAATTGATATCTTTTATTTTAATTTTTCTTGATCCAATTTTCAACTAGTAACCCTAATTGCTATGCTTCTATAGGGCCGTCTGCTGTAATTTTTACCTAGTAGGTCTTATGCTGACTGTTTAACCAACGGGGAAATTATACTTCACTTAAAATCTTGTGAACTGCAAAAGTCCCTAAATAAAGTTTGGGGGCTAATGTCTACCATGTTAGAAAGGTTAGAGACCAATCTATTATTTTTAGGATCTGTTTTCTCAACCAATTTTTTTTCCTTAGATGGTAACGTTCTCTCTATGATCAATGGTTAAAAACAAAAACGTTCTCCCTACACCATGGCCAATGAAAACTGAGCGTTTCCTCCGATAATCTTGGTTGTTAAGAAAAGGGATAAAGTATAAACTTCTAAATTGTCCTTAAACTTGATAATTTCAAAGCTATTCACCCTTGAACTTAAAAACTTGAGTTTAAGTCCGTCAACTTATGGGAATTAATTTGTGATAAATTTTAAATTAAAAAAAATATTGTAACTAGAGTATTATTTTAAGGGTAAGAGATTTTTTTTTTTTGAAGAGGTAAGAGGTATTTTTTAAAGAGCCTCTTATTTTATTATCTGACTATACTAATATATAAAAAAATTATTGAATGAAAACAAAATTTAATTTCAATGATCCTATCTTCTATTTAATAATTAATATTATATAATTAAATACAATTTAAATTATACAAAACTTTTCCTTTGTTGAAACTTCGCTCGACCTTCCTTTTTTTGACAAAACCCTCAAATCACTTCTTAAAAAATATGGGTAGGAACGGATTCACCCCTAAAAAAATACAGGGACATTTAGTCCCCTAAAAGTATCGATTGACCCAAATCGATCATTATTTAACAAATGATGTCATCACCGTCACTATCTTCGTTACCCCGTGCCAGCATGCCCCTTTTTTACACGTTGGATGCTAATGTACGTCAATTCCACTCTTTTTCGCACACTGTGGCACCCTTTATTCCCTTTTACTTGTCATGGACCCCTCTGGTTTTCACGCACGTCAGATTTCTTCTTCCTTTTTCATTTTCTCTCCCCTTTACCTTTCCTTTTCCCTTACCTTTGCAAACCCAAGCTCTGGGTTTTCCCAAACGACGAAGAAGCAAGTGATGATCGTTGTCGTTGACGACAAGGAGCATAGTGCCTACGCATTGGAGTGGACGCTCAATACCTTTGCAAACCCAGGCTCTGGGCTTTTTCAAATGACGGAGAAGCAAGTGATGATCGTCGCCGTCGACGACAACTAGCACAGCGCCTATGCGCAGGAGTGGACACTCAATCACTTCTTCGTATCTCTAGGTGATAGTGCCTTGTTTAAGCTCATCATTGTTCACGCTCATCATTGTTCACGCCAAACCTTCTGTTACTATTGCCGTCGGCCTTCTTCTTCTTCTCTCAAACCCAGATCTGGGTTTTTCTCAAACGGAAGCTGCAGTTCTGCTACTTCAATTTGGTCCTGCATAATTGGGGCGCAGATTTCTGTAGCCTTGGAGGAAACTGTCACCTGTTAGTTTCTCACCGCTGGCTATTGGGACTACTGCAAGAAAAAAAAAAAAAACAGCTGACCGCGAAGGCTGAAGAGATTCCCGTCTTCCTAATTTAAAACAGGAGGATGGTAGTAGTTTCAGAGTTTGAGGAACTTAAAACCACGATTTTTAGTGTCTACGGTTCAGTAAGCTTCTTCCATTTCTGTTAATTAATATGATATTTTTCTTGAAAATTTGTTTATGTAATGCTTTGTTTGATTGCCTAGAAAACTTGGGAAAAGTGACAAAAATGGAAGCTTTTTGATATTGAGTTTTTAAGCATGAAAGGAGAAAAGGTACAATGTATTTTCAATCCTGCTCTTGAATTAGTGTAATTTTACAGTTCTTGGTTGTCTGAGTAACCAGATCAACAGGAGGGTTTTATATTCAGAGTTGAATTTTCTTTTCATTTTTTGCATTTCCTTTGTTCTCAATTTTGGTTTTTTTTTTTTTTTTTTTTTTAACATGTTATATTTTAGTTATTTGATTTTGGTTAATATTTGAAGTAGATATGTGAAACTTTATGTGTGTCTTGAATCTCTTGGAATGTGGTATCTTAATCAAACTTTGATATGAATTGCTTGAAAAATTAGGTTTCATTTTTGTGCATTGGGGGGACGCTTGATACCTCTGCAAACCCAAGCTCTGGGTTTTCTCAAACGACAGAGAAGCAAGTGATGATTATCGTCGTCGATGACAAC